AGATATTAACCAATGACACTTGTCCTAGACGATAGGTTTAGGATCAGAATTTACTTTTATGTCATTTTTATAATATAATATACAACCACCGGTATGAGCACTTGATGATTCTAAATTTATAAAAGAATAACCAAAACTTTCAAGCTCTTTTTCAAAGATTAAGGATGTTATGTGGGTTTCAGTTAATCCAAGTATATGAGGTTTAAATTTTTGTACATAAAGTGTAACTCTGTAAAGTTTATTCATGAGACCATTTATATTTGTATATGCAATTTTAATGTCTTTTACTACTTTTGATTGCTAGTTGCCATACTTTAATTCCACTCTATTTTTAATGTCAATATATACTGGGCATTTCTTATTGAATGCATAATGTTGAGGATTTATCATTAAATTGAATTTTTTGTTTTTGCTAAGGCAATTAGCACACCAATTACTTTCGTGATTTTGACAATCTTTACTGTAATAATCACCTGAACAACATGAAGGAGTATTAAAGTGACAATTTTTTGCTATATGGTTGTAACCTTTTATATATGGTTATAACCATATATAACTATAAATTAGAATAATTTCAATAATAATAACACCTTAATAATAATAATAGTAATAATATAAAAATAATATTAGTAATAACTGATATTATAATAATATAAAGTAAATAGAAATTAAATTCATATTATTAATAATTAAAATATGAATGACAGCAGTAATTATTAGAAATATATTTATACAATGATATAAAACAATAATAAGGAAGAACACTTGTATTTATCAAAATTTAACAATAATGATAGTAATCGTAATAAAAGTCATTGTTACAAAAAATGTACACATATATAAATATATATATATATATATATATATATATATATATATATATATATATATATATATATATATATATATATACGCACACATGAACACATACATACATATATAAACATATACACATACATACATATATAAACATATACACTTACATATATACATACACACATACATATACACATACACATATACACACATACACTCACAAATATATATATATATATATATATATATATATATATATATATATATATATATATACATATATATATATATATATATATATATATATATATATGTATAAATATATATATACATATATATGCACATATACATACATATATACATACACATATAAAACAACATTGTATGTATATGTGTGTTTATAATGTTATAATAATATTTATATCACATATAACAATACTAAAAGCAATAATAATAACCCACAGTAATTTCAACATTTTACAAACAGTATCTCTCCAAAAAAAAGTCATGAAGACAGGTTTTAAATTGTATAATAGAGAATATAAATATTATTAAATAAAAAAAATTAATAATGTGCATATATTATATATAGTTATTATACATATAAACAGTGGCATAGGAAGGTTTTTAAGTGTTTGAAATAACTAACTTATAAACAACAAGAATATTCCAAATTTTTTATGTTCATATGTATGACAAACAGTATCTCTCCAAAAAAAAGGCATGAATTTAAAAAGGCATGATTTAAAAAATTTAAAAAAAGATTTAAAAAAAAAAAAAATTACTGTGATAGGAGAATGGGAACAAGAGACCCTAAAATCTTAGCCCTCCCTGTCCCAAAGGTGAGAGCATCAAGTTGATGAAACATTTTTTGTACTATTTTCAACTAGACTTATTCATTAAGAAATTTTAAATTTTATAGTAAAATATTTTAGTGTTCAAAAATTACGACCATATAAAGTTTGCAACCCCCTCAAATTGAGGAGGTCATATACATATGACCATATTATCTATACATAGATACGTGTATCATATATGATACATAATACATGTATCATATATGATATCATATATGATATCATATATGATATCATATATGTATCATATATGATATCATATATGATATATGTATCATATATATTATATGTATGTATAATAGGTGAGGGCAATGTTTAGGGTAATGAAAGTCATGGTAAGTGTCAAATTTAGAGTTATAGCTAGTCTGAATAGGTTCAAGACAAAGGTTAGGTTCTAAATTTATATTTAAACCAAAACCCTAATCCTGATCCATACCCTCAAATAAACATTTTTTTTATTTGTGGAAGAGTGCGTCATATAAGGCAAACTTATTATAGATATATAAATCTATGTTCGGACTATGTTCAGACATTTTTACTATTGCAAGTTATATGACTCTTTATGTTCCATATGGAACCATTTGATGTTGTAAATGTTTTAACTTCTTAAAGGTAGAATTTGTATATATTACAACGATTATCTTTACATTTAAATAATCCTATTTCTTTTTTGATTAAATGGAACTTTGCAGAGGTCAGCAGTTTTAACAGATTGGGTGGTTGTTTAAATGCAATCAATGGCTGGATATTTGAAAAAACTTATTTTACTCTTTCATTTAAAGTTAGGTTAAGTAAAAGATTAGATTCAGTTATGATAGGTTGATAATTCAAGTTGCAATAAAAAGTTGTAATTAAAGGAAAATTTTCTTTAGATTGATTTTGGGTAGCTGGTTCTTGGAGTTTTGCATTGTTTAAAGCTTTTTCTATGATATTATCAGGATATTTACATTCTTTTAGCGTGTTTTTATTTCTGCTAATTGTTGTTTTACCTTTTTGTAATCAGATGTGAAAACAATTATTCTTTTAGCCAGATTGAAAGGGATATTTTTTTTATGTGATAAGGGTGATGAGTTTTATAATTTAGGTAATCATTGGTTTCTTTATACTAAATGTCTGTTTTTGTTTTATTGCTATTTTCAAGAATAATAGATATGTCTAAAAAATTAATCACAAGTGTTACCATCTTTTATAAACTTTTTGCCTTGGTCTGTTGTAAAACGGATTGAACTATCTATTTCAGTTAAAGAATTCATAAACTTTACTATATCCAATTGTTTTGGCTAGATTATGAAACCTTCATCAATATATCTATAATAAAATTGTTTTATATCATTAACATCATGATCGGAAAAGTTCTTAGAAAAAAGTCCTGTGTCTCCCAAAAACCCAACTGTGAGACATGCATAGTCTGGAGCAAAATCAGTACCCATTGCTGTTCCTGTAATTTGATGATACATTTTGTCATCAAACAGAAAATTATTGTTTTCTAAAATAAAAGATGCTGATTCTAATATAAATTTTTGAGTAAATCTTTCATCTATTATATCTTTATGTTTTGTAATCCAGGACTTTAAAGCTTCTAATCCTAATTTGTGTGGAATACTAGTATAGAGATTAACAACATCTCAAAATACAACTTTCTCTCTCTTAATCTCTAGGTATCTTCCTTAAAAAATCCCAATCATCTTTAATGAAAGTTTTTTGTTTTATAACAATAAGAGATAAAAATATGTGTAAGAACTGACTAAGGTGACCTTTGAGGTCTTCTGGTGGTTTTATTTCTATATATAGAGAGTTTGATTTGTAAACTTTATCAATAATTTCATGACATTTATGAATTTTTGGAGTTGTGTAAAAATTGCTAAACTTCCATTCGTAATTTGTGATGTAGTTTATTTCATTTTTGATTAGACAATTGTATTTACTAATCATTTTAGTATGTTCTTTAAAGATAATTTTATCTGATTCAAGATTTGCCTTATCATAAGTGTTTAAAGAGAGTAGATGTTCTTGATAAACTAGTTTGTTGTTATTATAAGATAAGTCCATTACAATTAAAGTATTACTTTTGTCTGTCTTTTTGATAACTATATCTTTCATTTTCTTTAGTTGTTTTGAGGTCATCCTTTCTTGTTGAGTAATGTTACCCACTGATTGTACTTTGATTGGTTTAATTCGCTCAATTTTTGAAATGATTTCTTCTAAAAATGGTTGAGTTGTTCTAATATCATAGTTTGACTATTTTTAAATTATGCATATATCAGTATTATGTGTTCAATTTTTTAACACAATGAGGATAGTGAACTTTATGTGGTGGTTTATGATTGCCACTGACACACAGTTTAGATATTTATTGTATAATGATGTTATTTAGTATAGAAATAAAGGTTTGCCAACACTATTAAGATGTCTTAGAAAGATAATACTCCAATCTAATGATTTCAGAGGTAGCTTTGTAATCTGCATTTTTGCAACAGTAGAACTGCTGAACTGTAGCTTCATCATCATTATTAAGCTCAAATTAGTAGTAAATAGAATTACACAATGGAACTAGCTCAACTAGCTCTAATGTGTGGTGTAGTGCAGAGATCCCTCATAAATTTTGCTAGTTGGTTGATTAACATTTCTTTTTTAATTTCAATTCACCTTACCAAGGCTATAAAGGTCACTACAGTCGAGGAGGTTCACTACACTAGTTTCCATATAGTCAATGGCTTCTTTACCATAACCACCATTGCAATAATATCCAATAACTATTTATGTCTGACCATTTTTAGGCTTCAATCGACACAGACAATTTCCAAATTATGACACTCAGTTGGTATATTGATCTTTTTATATTGTAAAAAATACTGCTACTCTACCACCTTAACTACTTTTGTAACAGTGAAGGATAGCATAATATCTAGAATATAATAGACTATCAGGTAGGTAGTTATTTAACCAAGTTTCTACAAAACAAAATATTAAGGTTGTGAAAATAAATAAAATGTTGGAACTCAACAATTTTATTACATATACTGCGAATGTTAGTAAGTTCCAATTTTCCAGTGTTTTTATTAGTGAGCTAAGATTCTGGGTATGAACTTGTTAGTAAGCTGTTGTTAGAGTTGTACTTGTTGTAGATCTCATTGGACAAAGTAGTTAGCAACTGTTAGCTCTTAGCAACTGATAGCTCTACTGTTATTTTTTTTAGAATTCCATATCTTTCAACACTCACACACACATGCATATATATATATATATAAATGTGTTTAAAGACATAAAATTTATAATTATTTATCAGAAAATTGAGCTTTATTTAATTTCCTTTTTTTTTTCTTTTAGTGCATAATGGTCTCAGTTGCCCTGATGGTTGGTCAGAAAATAAAAAATATTGCTATCTTTTTTATCAAGCATCAAAACCACAAAACTGGAATGATGCTCTTTTATCATGTCAGGGCTATGGGGGAAATTTGTTATCCATAGAAGATCAAGCAGAAAACACATTCATCAAAAATCAGCTGAAAATTAAAAACGGGAATTACTGGATTGGTATAATTTTCTTATTTTATTTTTTAAACTATCTATTTTAATATAAACTTTATTTTATTATATTACTTCAAACTCTGTGTTATGGACTCAATGAAATTTTATTTATTTTATTGATAATATTTATATTGTAATATTAAAATAGGTCTTAATGATATCAAGATTGAAGGAACGTTTGTGTGGAGTGATGGATCGAGTCCAAAGATTTTTAACTGGAGAGGTAGTGAACCTAATAATCTTGGAAATGAAGATTGTGTAGAAACAAATTCTATTGGTTGGAATGACTTAAGTTGTCAAACACTTTTAAATGGGTTCATTTGTAAAATTATAAGAGGTAAATTTTTTATAAAATTAAATTAACTAAAATAAGGAAACTTGAATGAACTGAATATTTTTTATAAATGCTTAATAATAAAGATATATAAAATCAGTTGTTAATAAATAAAAACTTATTAAAAAATAGTTTTCAAATTAATATATTTCTATTCTTTGATCCAAGCAATTTTGTGTAGCACAAGTTACACCAATAAATTATAATTGTAATTAGATTAGACAACTGGAAATGTTGCATTGCAACTAGTCATATCTTTTTTCATTTTTTTCCAATAATTTATAAAATTAATAATTTAATAATTTATAAAAGTTTACAATTTTTGTGTTTCTACATCCAAGGATGCGTAGTCATGTGATTTAATGAGTTGGAACCTATTGTTTTTAAGCTCAGAGTTTTTATTTATATATAGTGTTCTTTCATATATTTGGTTGTAAATACACAAAAATACGAAAATAAATTTTATTGGTTTAAGTTCAATCTTAATGATTCCTATTTCTTTTCTTTTTTTTCTTTTTTTTAGATTTATAGTTAAAAACCAATGAAAAATAAAAAGTTTTTATTTAGTTTCTTTATTTTGATTTCATATTTAAGCTATTATATAAAGTAGTATATTCAGATTTAAAGTTTTTTTATTATTCTTTTTTTTTTTAATTAAGAGTTTTAAATACAATAGGAAATTTAATTTTTTATTGTATTTGATACTAATGTAAAGTTAAAAGTTTAAAATCTTCGAAAGCAGGGGTTATTATTGTTGAACTTTATTTTATAATATAATTTTTGTATAATTTAATATAAAAGATATGTTATCTTAACAAATAATTTGTCAACAATTAATAACTAATAATTTCTCATTAAATCTTAACCAATGATTTGTCAATTATTCTTAATTATATATAAATTATATATTACTAATTTATATGAGATGAATTTTTATCGAAAAAATGATAAAATTAAAAAAACTTCTTTTGAAAAGGGATAAAATTACACATAATATTAGATCATTTTTTTCTTTGCGTAGGTTCTGAGCTCTCTTTATTTATTTGTTTACACTAATGACCTTTCTCAAATAACTTTGAAAATATTTTCAGATGATACTAAGCTTTTATTATTTCAAAAATCATTCCATTAAGCTACATTAAGTATACATTTATGATTGTTCAAATATTAGATTTTTTTAATTTATGATTTCTAAGTATATCATTATTGTTTCACTCATTATGGTTTTAGTTATTGATAATTTCTTTAATTATAGTTAACCTATGCAAAATATTTGATTTATAAAACAATGAACACAAAACTGATCAAATCTATTGAATTCCATCAAGTTCTGTTAATTTCTTATAATTTATTTCAACTTTTAAAATAAACTTTTAAAATTTACACATAAAGATTATAGGTTATACGCTTGAAAGATTTTACAAGCATAAAATAATTTTTACTTTTATGAATCACATTCAGATCATAAATGAAAATCACTTTATTTGTATAAAGTCTTTAAATGTTTGAACAACCTAGTCAAAAGATGGTGTAGCCTCCTAGAATCTATTTAATACATTAAACATTTGTTATATGCAGTAGCATAGCAATAGGTTATCCCCTTTTCTCCTTACCCTTCCCTTTTCTCCTTACCCTCCCCTTTTCTCCTTACCCTTCACAGCCACTCACTCACACAATTTGTCATCAAATTCATTCCACTCCCCCTGTTCCTTTTTCTCAAGTTGATTAAACTGAAAACAAAATATTACTTTAAAACATCATTTTAACCTAATAACTTTTTAATAACTAAAACAAAGTTTTGTTTAAAATTTTAACATGCTGTTATTTTAAGTCCATTGTTTATAATTGACCGAAAATTACAGTATATATAAAAGTATAGTATAAAAATCTAATGGAAGTTTTTTTAACCTTTTAAGTGTAAATTTTTAAGTGCAAAATTCTGTTACATCTTTTAAATTTAGCTGTTTTTTTTGCTTTTTTTAGTTAATAAAAAAGATAAAACTTTTTGTATTGAGTCATCATTGTCCTTTTTATGTTGTTTTTTTTAATGTGCAAAAGATCTTTTTTTTAGCTACCATGTCAACACACAATATTTAATTAATTGTAAGCGTTGTTATAGTTACTTTAGGTATTTAAGTAGCTTCATTACGGTACATTTGATGAAGGCATAATAAAATTTTTATTATTTTTTGATTTATATATTAAAGTAGTTTTTTTTTATATTTAAATACAATTTGATAAAATGGTACCATATGAAACAATATTATTAAATAAACTTTCCGTTTCTTTTCTAAATATTATTATTAGACAGAAACGGAAAGTTTTAACAGATTGTTAGACTTTGACCTTTCATGTCACTTTTTTTTTCTTAGGCAGCTTGGTCCACAAATAGATCTGGGTTATGCATATATTTATTTATGATACTGTTAATAATTTTTTTTGATGCCTATTATATAGTATGGTTTTATAGTGCCTTTAATTGTTCTTTTAAATATTACTTTGTTTAAATCTGTTTAGTTGATTTATATCTTGATGGATGTCAAATTTTTTAGTCTATCCCCATTTATAAATGACTTATCAGAGACTTTTTTTGAAGCTTCATCTGCAGTAATGTTTGCATTGCTGTTATACACTTATGAGCTCACAATATACTGTATTTTAACAAATTTTTTTAATAGATCCTTGTTTTGGGTACAAGGAAATTGATGACTTTCAAAGAAGTACTGCTTTTACAGTAGATCCTAATAAGCCCTTTGTATGCAACAGTGCATTCATAGCAGATTGGTATCGCTTTACAAGTGGTGCTGGAGGAAAAATACCAACAACAAATCCTCCACCATACTCATGTGGTAATTAAAAAGTTTTAAAATTTAAATTTACTTTAATGATTTTTTTTTAAAGTATTTAATAAAAGAATTTAAATGTTAATAGTATAAAAACTTTCATAATTATAATTTAAAATAAAATAAAACTTTATAATAAAAAGGTTTTATTTAAAGTTTTAAGTCCTACTCTTTTCTGCTAGGAACAAAAAATCCTACTTGGCTTAATGTTACTGAACCAACTGCATTAAATGAAACTATCTCAGGCCAGGCTTGTGTTGTAGTTGACAATAACATATGTGCTCACAAAGTTGATGTTAAAGTAAAAAAATGTTTTCAAAACAACAATGAATTTTTTGTTTATTACTTACGTCCACTACCTCAATGCTCAATGAGATACTGTGCAGGTTTGAAGTACAAATAAATATCATTTTGATAATTTGTTTGCAAAGATTGCTTATTTATATTTAAAAAATATTTGATCATCGTTTTTAGGTACAAAAAGAAAATGTGATACGAATGAAAATTCTCCAACTGGCTTTTCACCTTGCTCAAGTATATTTTAAATATAACATTTTTTGTCACTTAACAATTTAAAATATAAATATTTTTGCTGCTTAACAGTTTTTAATGTTTAATTTTTTAAAGTTCATTTAGATATATTTGTTTGAATCTATTTAGTTAATTCATTTCTTGATGTATGTCAAGTTATAGAAATAAATTTTAGTTCAGAAATACACTTATTAATTTCTAAATTTTTATTTTTTATTTCATTTAGGTTACTTTCCTAAGATAGAAAAAGATCCAGTTGTCACTGTTGGCGTAGACAATAAACGATTAAGGTTCACTTGCAAGTTTCACACAGTACAAGAAAGTAATGCGCGATATGAAGTTACTTGGTTTCAAGGACCAGAAGAAAAACAAATTAAAGGTCCTGAAGTTTTTACAAGTAATAAAAATGAAGCATTTCTTCAAAACACTAACAAATATGGAGAAAATACAACATTTTGTTTAGGTTACAATGTAAGTTTTTTTTTAGTGTGACATTTGTCTTTTTAAAGATAAATCTCTCACAAGTTGCGTGTCTTTTTTTTTGAAGTGGGAGGGAGAGGGCTAGATTTGAAATGTTTCAATTATTCGATTTAAGTTATATTTTTTATTTTTTTAATCTTTTTTTTAAAAATTAAAGAAACTGAAATAAAATTAATAAAGAAAAAATTATAAGTGGTTTATAAATGATTTTAAAAAATTTAATTTTTTTTCAGTTTAATTTTTTTTTTCAATTTTTTTCCTACTTAAAAAACTATTGGTTTTATTAGATAGTTTTAAATGCTTTTAATTTTTATTTTGTTTTACAAACTTTTTTTGTTATAGATAACTTTAAATGGTTTTCCATTTAAAGTTATCTATATCAAAAAAACCATAATTTTAAATAGTTTTTCTAACCGAGTGCTGCTACATCAGCTATCTATCAGTACTGCTACTTTAACTATGGGTTTGGTTAGGGCAGCCAGTCTATCATTTAAAAAAATTATTCAAGTTTTTAAACTTTTTCTGGTCTGGTTTATTTGTGCTCTCTTCAAAATTACAGTTTATGGCTATACATATTTATATAAAGCCCCTGATATATATGTATATATATATATATATATATATATATATATATATATATATATATATATATATATATATATATATATATATATATATATATATATATATATATATATATATATATATATATATATACACACAGCGTGTAAAATATCAGCCGGTCAATGGCCAATGACCGCTCAAAATGAGTAAAATTGCTATTTTGATCTCCCAAAATGAATTCTTGTTGGTCATGGTTAAAAAATAATCAGAGTTTTGAAAAACTCTGATTATTTTTAAAAAATGTCAAAGCAAAGTTAAAAATTAATGCAGAAGTGTATTGAATTTTATTGTTTTTTAAAAAAATTGCAATTATAATAACTAGAAAGTTTTTTTTAATTATTGGTGTTTTTGTTGTTGTTTTGTTAAAATATATTTTTAAAGCATGCGTGAAGTGTTACTGCATCGACTAACTTATAGCTTGCTGCTACAAGGGAGTGTTGCTACATCGACTATCTTATATCCTGACTCGCAATGGAGTATTGCTACATCGACTATCTTATAGCTTGACTTGCAACGGAGTGCTTCTACAGCGACTAACAAATAGCCTGACTCACAAGGGAGTGCTGCTACATCGACTGAGGGTTTGGTTTGAGCATGCAGTCTATCATTTAAGAAAAAAAAAATGCTAAAAATTTTTAAACTTTTTCTGGTCTGGTTTTTTAACGTGTTCTTTAAAAATACAGTTTATGCAAAAAACTTTCTGATTACCATGCAAGAGTATATATATATATATATATATATATATATATATATATATATATATATATATATATATATATATATATATATATATATATATATATATATATATATATATATATATATATATATATATATATATATATATATATATATATATATATATATATATATATATATATATATATATATATATATATATATATATATATATATATATATATATATATATATATATATATATATATATATATATATGTATATATATATATATATATATCAGGGGCTATTTTGGACCATATTTGACAGTGTCAAAAATTTATTTTACTGTATTTGTGTCTTGCAAAAATTAAAAATTCTTCAAAACTACAGTTTATGTATATTGTACAATAATGTACAACTAAATATATTTATATATAGCCCCTGATATATATATATATATATATATATATATATATATATATATATATATATATATATATATATATATATATATATATATATATATATATATATATATATACTCTTGCATGGTAATATTATATTAATTATATTCGTGCAAGTTATACAATATTTTGTCAATATATTTATATGAGTAATCATTGATAACTTTCTATTCTGTGAAATAAGTTTTTTCTTTCATGGAGTGGTGATAAGATTTCTGTGATATTTGAAAATCTGAAATAAAAACTGTTGTTCAGCTTCATTAAGCATTTGCATATTTAAGTAAGTGCATATGTCTGAAGCTAGTTTTCAAGCACACCTAGCATAATCATTATACCATAATCAAGGAAAAAAATCATAATGAAAATGGCACCCTTAGCAGATGCTTTATGGATTGTGAATATGAATTTTAAATATTCAAAAAGTCAATAGTGTATGAAAATCTAAGTAAAAAAAAAAAAAAAAAAAGGTTAAATTATAGAATATAAAAAATAAGAAAATCTAAGAATATATAAAGTAAAGGACTCAGTTAAAGTATTGCCATTCATCAATAAAGGAATATCAACAACATTGCAATAATAATCAGCAGTAAACAAGTGAGTTATGTTTGGGCTAAAATATAAAAATCACTGCAAACCTTTAGTTGTCACAGATAGAAATCAGATTCATGGTTAGTTGCCTAGTCTAAGTAGTTAAAAAGTGAAATCATTTTGACAAGATTTGAGTTTACAGTTGAGTCATAAGCTAAAATAACTTTAAAGATAAAATTATAAAGATTATCATTATTATAGATGAAAAACAACACTGGACTTTGGATAAAACTTTGTATCACCCCAAAAGTTACTGAAAATATAGGAGATTGTTTTTTATAAAGGACAAATTTGATAGTGTAATTAGAAAGAAATTGTTCACTAATTTTAAATTTTTTACACTATAAAAAACATGCTTATGGAAAAGACCAGTATGCTAGATTTTATTGAAAAGCTTTTGATATGTCAAAAGTTAATAGTCCTTGCATAACTACTTTCATCAATTGTTAACTGTTATAATGTTTAACTATGCAGCAGCAAAACTAGTAGATTAAAATTCAAATTTGGTTTTCAGAAAGTAAACTATTAGACCCAAGATGATATAAGTTAGTTGATTAAAGATTTAATCCATGTGATCAGATGGAATGTAAGAATTGCCATTTAAAATGTGAAGACTTGTTTTTTATATTTTTTAAACAGTTGCGGCTGTTTGATATACTTTTTTAAATTTTTTAGAAAACAAAGAATTTTGTTAAAGAGCAAGAAAATGTTTGACAGGAGACTTAAAATGATTGTTTAAGTCTGATGATGGAAAAAATTTCAAAAGATGTGTGACAGAAATTAAAGTGGTTGTTTGAGAATAAAAGTTTTTTCGACTGTAAAGGATTAAATACAGTAAACTGATGCAACTTTGCTTAATGAAAAGTTAATGGAGGATAGGTTTTAGTTGATGAAACTAGAAGTGTTTTTAAGCAGCAGCCATGTATTTTTAGAGTAGAGGAAGAGATGTAATCTTACAACAATGGGACAGTGAATTGAGCTTGGCAGATAAAGCAGGTCTAACAACGTTTCCAATTTAATTATAAAAGATTTCTTTTTTAGTGTATTTACAATTTAATATTTCCAGTTTTTGTGAGCTCTTTTGATTCTTATAAGAGTTGGCAAGTTGGTTTGAGTTGTGCCAATGTCTAGCATTTCATTTCCTTACAAGTAACTTTGATTTTATATTTATTATTTTAACCATTGCATTGTTCATTTTAAGGTTTAAAAAATCGGAACTTTGACATACAGGTTATGGGTCACCTATTTTCACCCCATTATCAGTACATCCTTAAATTAGAAATCGTGAAAACATTCACTAAGTGATTTAAGTGGTTTCAAAATAAAATAAATATCTACAAATTACAGAGAGCTTCATTAAAAAAAAAAGTTATATAGTTACTTTAGGTTCTTATTATTCAAGAAATTTATTCATTGTATTTATTTTGGTTTAGTAAACTTATCCTAAATTTGAATTTAAAAAAAAAATAGTCATGTTTGAAGAAAATTTTTTTGCATATTAATATATTAATATGGCAGTTCATTTAAACAAAAAACTTTCAAATTATATCTATGATTTACTTCAAAACACAGATTTAAAAAAAAAAAAATATGTTTTTATTTAGATTTACTGCAAAGTGAGCTCATATTATATTGGACATGAGAGTAACAAAAGTCGAGAAAGAAAAAGCAACGAGTTCTTCTCTGGATTTCAGGTAACAGGAGAAATATAGCATATTGTATTGTTAGGTTTTTATAAACTAGTAGTTTAAACAAAAAATTATGAGCCTTACCTTTTTTTTTTCATTACTTTATTAATATTATAAGTGATTGTTACTTTAGTTTTAAAATACTATATTTATTATATTGCTACTAGCTGTATGCATGCGTATAGTTTTTAACTGTATTATCAATAAATAAACTACTTTATAAAGACAATTATACTACTTTAAGAAAAGAAATACCTTTAAAAGATTCTGATTTTTAATTCAAATAGTTAATAAAGGTGCAATGATGTTTAAAGGATTAATGTTTACATGTTTTCAATCATCTACAATATTTCTTAGTTTAAAGCATTTTTTTCTTTAAATAGATGCAAGTAAAAGAAAAAAATTAATGTCACTAGTAACATTGGGAAAGTACAAAGAAAAAGATTTTTACCAGTTTATAATAGGATTTTTGATTTTAATGCATGTTTGCATGGTACACTTTTTATAACACTTTTTTTATAATAAATTGGTGTAGTATAGTTTGCTGACTATTATGAAATGTATTATTCCCTCATGTGAAGTTTTAATAACTGTGAAAATGTATGTATATACTAAGAAACATAAAGACATTTAGTGCATTTTTTTGTGTGTTTAGAATAGATTATATGTTCTGTAATATATAGTTCTGTATGTTCACCATTCCGAAATACTTTATCTAATGCTTAAAATGCTCTAAATTTTGCTTCTAAATAAAAAATTGGTTAAGTCAGTTAATGGGCATTTGAAAAATGAAAAAAGTTTAAAATTTTCTATGACCTAGAAGTTTACCAGAAATAAATCCAATATATAAGGGTAATTAACTTAGTTGAATTAAATTGCAGAAAGCTTCAAAGCATAAAAAAAATTGTAGAAAATAAAACAGAGTATATGACCTTCAAATCAAATAAATATGACCAAAAATTTAAACTGGCACCAGAGCCGTGCTGTAACTATTTTGGGCTCTTAAAGAAATTTTTTTTTTAACTTTATTAAATTCATTTTTATTGGGTTTTATTTAAAAAATAGTTATACAAAGATATTATAAATCATTTTTCCTAGCACTTTTTCATAGAAATTCATCAATTATATTATATTAATCGATTCTAATACATTCTAAATCTAATGCAGTTGTGGTTTAGTGGTTATAGTACTGGTTTTAGAACTAGAAGTCCGCGGTTTGAAGCTGGCTCTGGCCATATATACATCGTTGGTAAGGAAGGAGGTGTGATTTTCTTGAATAAATGCTTTTCTAAGGTGCACTGTGATAAGGCGGTAGGGACTTCTTGGAGCACCTAAATAACTAACAACAAAAATAATTTTATTGTTCTGGCGGTTATATTTTCTGTATACAGTATTGATAATCCTGAAAGTTTTTCCTGCGACATTGTAGATAATTTCAATATTTTTAGTTTTTGAAAATGATCATTCCCAATAAGCAGTGGTAATAGGTATTGTTACAATTATTCAATATATGATACATACATATAGATACAACTCTTCCAAATTTCTTTCTAAAATGAACTCTAAATTCTCTATAATAGTATAATAATCTTCTAAAATATATCTTAAAATAGAAAGTTCATATTTAAGTTCCACCTCTTCAACATCATCTTCTAAATGTTTGACCAGATTTGTACAATTAGTATAGAATTCATGAATTGTGTTTATAGTATTTGTACAATTAGTATTGAATTTATAATATTGTATTCATAGTTTTTAGCTTTTTATTATTAAAAAGCAAATCGAAAACTTGATTTAAAAAATTATACAATTTAAATTATTCTTGCAATGAATCTTCTACTATATCGATTAGTTATTCAAAATAAGATTGTTCAAATTTATCTTCAGCTATTTGAGTTAGATGGTTACAGCCATCATCAATTTCAGGAATATATTTATCATAATCATCACAGCATTGAGTTGGTTCAGTTTCTTTGTCTGTTGGTTTAATTTCTTTATTTTGAATCTCATCAATATTGCCATATCTCTCATTTGCTTTATTTTTATGGTCAGTATAATATTAATAGTCTGACAATCTCTTAAGATTATCTACTCTCTGTTTTGGTAGGGATAACCTAGGTTATGGTGATTTATCAAAACACTCTTTGTTTCTACTTGTTAACCAATGCCTGATTACCTTGGGTGCATGGGTGCATCTGTGTCTGGTACTCAAAAAATAGGGTCCCAGCAAGGGCCCTTGATTTTTTAAATAGACATGCCACTGCAATTCTCTATATCACTACTTTGGTTACAGTCATCATCAATTTCAAAAACGAGCTTATATTTATCATAATCATCACAGCATTGAGTTGGTTCAGTTTCTTTGTCTGTTGGTTTAATTTCTTTATTTTGAATCTCATCAATATTGTCATATCTCTCATTTGCTTTATTTTTATGGTCAGTATAATATTAATAGTCTGACAATCTCTTAAGATTATCTACTCTCTGTTTTGGTAGGGATAACCTAGGTTATGGTGATTTATCAAAACACTCTTTGTTCCTACTTGTTAACTAATGCCTGATTACCTTGGGTGCATGGGTGCATCTGTGTCTGGTACTCAAAAAATAAGGTCCTAGCAAGGGCCCTTGATTTTTTAAATAGACATGCCACTGCAATTCTCTATATCACTACTCTATATCACTACTGAAAAGACCTAAAAATGTATAAAATATCCAACCTAATATGTAAATTAATATGACTGAGCGAAATCAGAATGTAAGTTGGCTTATCTTATTTTATTTTTTGTAGTTATTTGGTTTTATGATTTCTAGGTTGTTTTTGTCATATGTATATTTTAATTTTTAAAATTGCAATTGCAATGCAGTTTTTTTAATTGATAAAAAGGCTGAAAATGCATAACTTATGAATATAATATGAACTATGTTATATAATTAATTATAATTATGTTATATTTAATCATAATTATGAACATAATACAAATTATGTATGAGCTTAAATTTAAAAAGTTACTTTTGCTGCATAATAAATTTTCAATGAAAAACTAAACAAAAAACTTTTTGAACAGTCATTTTTTTTGTTTTAGTTCAGTTTAGTTCAGATGTCAATCTAACCTTTGTAAAGAAAATTGAAAGGAACTCAAAGCTACTGGATTTTTATAAATGAAATTCCTGATCAAAATGCTGCAGACACAAATTTTTAAAAATCCAAAAAATCAATAAAAACTAATTTAAGGTAATGCTCTCTGAACTATTTTTTCTTTCAAGTTGAAAAATGGTGAAACTTGAAAGTATAACTGGCTTACTTATTCATCATCCATTGGAAATTTTTTTTCTTTTATTATAAATTAAAATGAGAACTTCAGAATTGGGTTCAATGATTGGTTGTGTGAACATGAAACAGAGATGAGAAAGAGACATGATCTTGAGACAGAGACATAAACAAAGCAAACAGCACACTGATGCAGTTCAGTGTTCAGGACCTTGGAGTTCCTTTTAAAATTTGACTCATTCTTTGTAAGATGTCAATAAATATTTTAAACATCTCCTTTGCTCTGATTTCTTTGATTCTTTAAGTGTTTAACTTTAAAAATCAAGGAATTCAGGGCAGAGTAAATGTTTAAAACATTTATTGACAACTCACAGATGGAAGACAATTTGTTCTGGTCTTGAAAGTCATGCAGAAATGGATATGAAAGTTACAATAAAAATCTGAGTGGGACAAAGTGTCAGCAAGCTCTTTCTATTAAAATTTTACTAGAAGTTTACAGTCATATCTGTGAAACCCTAGAATCAATTGTTCTAGATAAATATAAAAAACATCAGACACAAAATGAAGCCACAGCAATTTAAAACAAAACAAAAACTTTTGATGTTGACACAAAATTATGTTACGATTTGATGGTACTAGTATCACACTTCAAGGTAGAAGTGCAGATGAGCTCTTGGTGTGCAATTTCTTTAACCTTATTTCAAATATGTGACATCAATTCGTGAAGGTTTTTTTTGACATATATGAGTTTGCTGGAATGTTCTCAAGCATTATTCCTAAACAGTATAAACAATAAAATATAAGAAAGAAGATGTACAAAATAGGAGTTAGTGAAAATAGAGATAGAATGAAGTGGCAAATTTAAAACTATCATAGAAAATGTCCTATCATAGAAAAAAATCTTTCTGCTTATGAGTTTGCAGAGAGAAAGTTTGGTTTTCTAAATAGTGTTGCCGCCATGATACTTCTGGTAATTGTTGCCAAATCCTAGTGTACTTTTTATCCTTCAGACTTAAGTACACAATTCCATGAAGATATGGTCAGGTTTTCAAGGTTTATGTAAAATGAAAAGAATATATCACCACTAAAATGTTTACAAGCAATTTGTTGGAAAAAATTAGAATCATTTTTTTCCAATGCTGACATCATCAGGTTTTTCTGACCCTTGCATTACTAATTGTAGTGCAGAAAAAGCATTTTCAAACATGGCCTTAATGTTATATGGTGGTTTGAATGCTCTTTGTTTAATGACAATTGAAAAAATTCACTTACCAAATATAATTTTTGGTAAGTGAATTTGTTTAATAATTTTTGGTAAGTGAAGGTTTTGTAATTGGGTTTGCCAATGTGAAAGCAAGAAAAGTTTCTTTGCAAATAAAAATTTGTTTTTAAATAAATGTTTTTAGGAATGGAGCACCTAAATAATTTTTGCACCCAGCCCCAAAATTCTTAATCTTGCCTGGTTGTTAATATTTAAGTATCATAAGAAGACCATTCATTAATCTGTTCAAAATTGTCTTTGAAATTATCAAAAAGTAATAATAGCATAATCTTTGTATGTTATAATCCAATATTAATTGCCATATCTTTTTGCTGAAGTTAAAAAAAATGATCTTTTTTTTAATATTTGCTCTTTTTTGTGCGCTGCTTTCATAACATCTTTTCGTTATTTAAGATAATTAAATGTTGTATGTATATGAAATTAAACAACAAGTGAGTTTAAAAATGTTACCAAAAC